GTTAAAAATAATTTTACAATAAATTGAAAGAAGTTTTTGTTTACTGCAGAGCAGGAGTCCACTCCAAAAGGGACAACCAGAACACCTTCAGTGTTATCTCAACAATCAAAGGCTAAGCTCATGTCTAGTTCTCTTGTGGTTAGACTTGCAGATTTCAATATATACCAGGTATGTGTTATTTTTTAAATTAAACACTTTTAGTATCTCATATGAGCAACTCTAATAACTAATGCCCCCATTTTATTTAAAAATTGTTGACCACTTTTATGAAATGGCCCAATTAGATGGTATAGAAATTATCAGTTTATTTATTTTTGTTTATATGTTACCCAGAAATGGGCAATCTGTGAAATTAAAGTCACAGTCCTTTAGACTGCTAAGTCTGCCTAAGACTTCTGACACCAACTGCAAGTTCAGGGGTTTCCTACAACTACCCTCATGTTCAATAACCACTGGAAAGACTCACAGCACTCACAGAAATCTATTATATTTGTTATAGGGAAAGAAGACAAATTAAAACCAGCCATAGAAAGAAATGCATGGGGCAGAGTCTGGAAGGGTTCCAGGTGTATAACTTTCCCTCAGGACTAATTAGCCTCCCAAAGATGTGTAACATCACGCATAGATATGTAACAGTTATGCCTGAAGTATTTCCTATGTGGTTGAACTCAGTTTCTGAATGAACGGATCCCAGATAAGCGAAAGACACCACTGCCAAAACACAACTAAGACTACCACATGTGGCCAGCCCCACCCTGAGTCATCTTTTTAGCATAAACTATCAGTTATGGTCCCAGGGGCCCACCAAGAATAAGAAATTCCAATTCCTGGTTACTTCCCAAGAGCAGGGACAGAGAGGGGCCGAATTCCTTACAACACAATGGTCTCTGAACAAACTAAAATGCCTTTTTTGCTTTTCTGGACTATTAAGTTTGGGCTCTACTGTGAACATAATTTTATGCCTAAGAACTCTGTCCCATTTATACTAATAATCTTATTTAGCCAGTAATAATTTAACATCGTCTGATACTGATTCTTGGGAACAACAATAGAATATATGACCTATTTTTTAAAAAATAAGGATTTCAGATTTATGTCATTTATAAATTGTCCCGGTTGATTTTGATAAGTCTATAGCAGGGGTGGAGAACCTTTTCATGTTGGAAGGTGAAATTAGTTTAGCTGTAATCAAATAAAGCCACATTCAAGAAACTTCAATTAGATATACTTTAAAATGTATATTATTTTGTAAAAATCTAACTACTATGTACTTAATAATTTCAAAAATTGAAAAGTATTTGTTAATTTTATATATGCTTCTTTTTTTTTTTTGAGACAGAGTCTCACTCTTTTGCCCGGGCTAGAGTGAGTGCCGTGGCATCAGCCTAGCTCACAGCAA